GACGGAGGTGCGAGGCTTGTAGGCCATTTCACAAGCCTACAAGCCTCGCACTTCTGGCCTCAGCGGTCTTTGAGTAATGCGGCCCTTGAGGACCGTTAAGGCTGCGTACTTTAAGGCTGCAGACCCTGAATTGGGAAACAGTCCCTGAATTGGGATACAGCCATACATACATGTTTTGGTTTGTGCAACTGGTCCGTCCGGTTATTGTCTCCCCAGAAACATTTCCGTTGTGCTTTTTGTGCTTTTGCAGCATTTTTCTTTTTGCAGCGTTTTTCTTTTTGCAGCGTTTTTCTTTTTGCAGCGTTTTTCTTTTTGCAGCATTTTTCTTTTTGCAGCATTTTTCTTTTTGCAAGTGTTTTCTGAAGTTGCAGTCCGTTTGGCCTCTCAGGGCCACCGTAAAAAATGGGTTTAAAAACATAAACAGCTGTGGGATACTGTTTGTCCGTGATTTGAACCGGGGGAATAAATCGTGGCAGGATCAGCCTGATATTATTTGTATCCCACTGTAACTTTACTGTATAAAGAGCTAATATCTCCAAAATGTCAGGAGTAGTTAGTCATTACAAGAAGTGTTTGTGAACTAAAAATCAAGAATGTGGGATACTGTTTGTCTGTGATTTGAAGAGCCCAGCGCTGCTCCCGACGAAGGGAAAACCAATTCTGCAGGGGAGACCTACCTTGGCACTTGTGCAGGTGAAGCCAAAGGGAAGATATGCTTCACCATATTTTCTAGTCTTTGGCTTAGAATGAAGTTGGTTTGGAAACATATTCAGCTATGCTTCATTTCCTGCTTGCGTCCAAGCGTTTTGTCCCCCCCGCCATGGCTCTGGCCCCCCCCCTAGGGGGCGGGCCCCACACTTTGGGAAGGTCTGAACTAAATAATGATATATCCCTAAACATATTTATTTTGATACTTCAACATGGGGACCAGCTCGCTGTTAAGAGCCGCTAGTGGACACTAGAGGAACTGCAGGTTTTGGTGTTTTGTCTGCAGCCACCCCATCAAAAAACCGTAGAAACGCCCCTGAATGATGGATGTGACTGGAGAAGACATGAAAAGCAGACAGGTCCGCTTTGAAGGCGTTTTTTAATGCAGATTTGTGATATTTCGCTTTTGTTTTGTAAAGGTGTCAGAGGAGGTCATGTGGAGATTCAGTACCGCTGCAGGGGAACCGGAGGTGTCGTGACTTGCAGCCCGGTGCGGTGTCTCTTTAAGCGCAGGGCGGTGAGCAGATTTCCGATCGTGCACGAAGCGGATTACAGCCCCTGACATCAGTCCTCCTCATCCTCCTCCTCTTCCTCCTGCTCCTGTTCCTGCTGCTCAGCTGATCCGGAGGATTCCCTCTGCGGGACACTCAGCACAGCCCCGCCTGTATGCTCGCCTCCGCTCGCCTCCATCATGGACTTCAACGTGAAAAAACTGGCTTCTGATGCGGGGGTCTTCTTCACCCGGGCCGTGCAGGTAAGACCGGACCTCACTCCAGCTGCAGGCGGTGATGTGTGGACCGATTTACTACTGCTAGGCTCTCACTGCATCCCGTTGGGCCTGGAGCTCGATTAAAGCAGGTGAAGCCTTGCGTTTTATTTGTGAGGTCTGTGGGTATAATGGAGTGTATTTGTGTGGCGTGTTTTCCATGCAGACCGAGCAGCCCGCTGCGTGTAAGCCGATAAAGGTTTGTCTAGCCTCGATCCATTATTGATGGCTGTGATCGGGTGCATCACCCATGTGACTCCAGCAGACTCTGTCCTGCTCCCCTCCAACTCCCCAACATAGAGATTCATTCATTTATCTGGCTCACCAGCAGTAAACAGCATTAAATCATTCACTCTCGAGAACTTGTACACCAAACCTCATTCAAAAAATTAGAAATTCATTGATGAAGTCTGTGCTACAAGTCAGGTAATGAGCAGAACAATACTGGATCTTTAGGCTTCAGTAAGAAATTCGGCAGCCATATGATGCACTTTTCATTAAAGGCTTAAAAAGGTCTCCCATCTCACTCAACAAAGAAAGAGAAGACATCAAAACTGTATTTAAAACGTTATAATCAGGATACATTGAATTGTTACAGTAAGAAGCAAATATAGTAAAAAAATAATAAAATGGGGGCACTTCAAAGAGTCAAGTTTTTAAGCCCTGTTTCAAACTAACTGACCATATTTTCAAATTGTTTGTTCCACAGCTGGAGAGCATGAAAACTGAAAGCTACTTCACTTTGTTTAGTTCCCATTTGTCGCAAGTAAATTCACATGCATCTATACCCAAGTTCATTTAGTGCTGCGTAGACTAAGAACTGGGTTCTTGGGATCCCCTTTGGGCATTAGTGGGTGAGTTGCAGTTGTCTGTCACCTGTAAAGACAATAGTCTACAGTGCAGGAGGTCAAACTGACTTTCATTAAAAGCTGAAGTCGGTTTGGTATCACATCAAGGGCCACATAAAAAAAGGGTCTTCTGTATAATATTGTTGAACATTGTGGATAGAATTTAATCTGCATAAAAGCCTCAATGACACAACAAAAATTCAACAAGTTGCCTCACTGTTTCCGAGCAAGTCGAGCACAACAGCTGCTTATTTTCACTATTTCTGTTAAAATCCTGAACATTGATCCACATCACACCAACTCTGCAGTTACAGCTGGATGTTGTCCATGAGCTTGAAACATGTGGTCTGACCAATGCATGAACAATGCATGAATGCATTTTTTTCTGTTTTTTTTTCTAGTCAGAAATCATTGAATTTATTGCTAAGTTATTATGCTGTTAAAGATTTCTTTATTTGAAGAGTGACACTTCATCCTATCCAGACAGAGGCTCTTCTGACTTCGCCATATATGAACTTTCACAGTATAATTCAAAGATTAAAATAATGTATTTTAAATCATTTAAGAATAATATGAATCAATAAAAGGAGAAAAGCCCAGTGAAGCATATTAACTGGTTTATTCTGCACACTGCTGCTCCTATTGGAAAAAATGAACCCATGAATGCAACAAGGTCAGACTGCTTTCCTGGAGGTTGTCCAAGTGCATTGTGGGAAAACACAGGAAACCAATGAAGGCAGGAAGCGGTATAAAAAAACAAACAAAAAACAGCTCTGCACAACACCAGAAAACCATTAACTGTTTCTGTATTTTACATGTCTACACGTATCATATATGACTCATGGACTGGGAGTGAAAGGGTTCCTGCACACTGACTTTAAAAGTCTGACCAACCATTAGTGAGACACTAAGAGAGAGAGAGAGGGAGAGAAAGAGACTCAGTCGTTGTGTGTGTGTCTCTTTGTGGTGAATTTGCATCTTTGTAGTTGTTCTGTGTCTCTTTGTGGTTGGTGCTGCTTCTGGGTGCAGATTTTGACACAATGCAACTACAGTACTGGATGTTGTGTTTTAGTGGTGCCAGTGACCAAGCAAAAAACGTAATAAGCACATTTAAAGACCTTTAGATTAAATTTTGTATTTGGATAAACACTCAAATGTATCCCAGTTTGACTCTTCAAGATTCAAGAGCTTTATTGACAATACAGCAGTATACACAGTATACAGTGTACTGAAATTCTGTTTCATCCCAAGCCACCCATGGTGCATAAAAGATATAACTCCAAGAGATATAAAACTAGAAATTGCAAAGTGCTGAGTTAATGTATTTTGCATAGTCCTTAAATTGCTCTGCTGTAAAGGATGGGAACGGTTAATTAAATACCTACAAATTAATTAAAACTTGGTGGACCTACGGCTTTTACAGTCCCTAAGGCCCTAAGTGGAGTCCAGTAATCCAGCCCTGAATAAGAGGCTGTCCATCGTAGAGCTCCTGAATACCTGCCAGTACTTTTGCCTTTTAAAGAACCGATCTGGCCCATGAAGCTGCTGTCAGTCAGAGCTTCTCCCTGCTGCTTGGTGACAGTGACGGTGAATTCCTCGGCCTGCCTCTGAAGTCCAGCTGGCCGCCGTCGCTGTATGTCAGTCAGATTTGAATGAAAGAAATCATCTGACAGCCCAGCCTGATACCACAGATGGCGATCTTTGGCCTCAGTTATTAGAGAGCAGAACTGGGCCTTCTCATCTTTGATTGCATAAGACATGCTTCAAAGTTCCAGTTAGTGAGAATAAAAACTTATGTGTAAGTTAGAAACTGAGGTTTAAGATAATTTGTCTGGGTCTTAAAATATGATGGGTTTGTTCTGATTATTATAGAATTGCGATCATAAAGATCGAGTAAACGGTGGATGAAAAGCATGAGGACAAGTTTAAAAATTAAGATATTTTCATATTGGTTTGTAAAACCTTTGAGATTTTCTGTAATTTCTGTATAAATAAAAACTAAAATGCCATGTGATCCTTTTTTGTTTTTAATGAACATCCTTTTGAAGTAGATGAAGAGAACCTTTGGACTCAGTCAAGGATTACCTTTTAATCTTGGGAATGCCAACCGAACAGTGACAAACTCTATTGATTTGGTGGTTTGTTGGTAGATAATTCATTCTGTTAAGTAAGTAATTCAATCTGTGACTTGTTGATTATGTCGCACTTCTTCTAATATGATCACAGATTAAGCATTATTAGAGATATTACGGTATACTATTCTATAGAAATCTATGCAATAACTGTTGAGATCTTCACTCAAAGCTCCAAACATCAGCCCCATGCAGTCCCTCTCCACTGACGTGGGCCCGTGACCCAAACGAGAATGGATTCCACCAAAAAAACAATTGGTGCCAGCAAAGTTGGAATGATGTTGAAGTGGCTATTGAACCCCTACAAAGCTTTTGGCAGATGCAGATCAGAATATTCCCCATGAAGTTACCCCAACTTCTGTAAAAATGCTATGTGATGATCAACTCTCAAAACTGTCAAAATATCAGCTGGTTTTCATAATCCAAACCGGCACTAGAACTGTGTGGTGATGGGCAGTGGATGACCTGGTTTAGATTCATACAGTCGTTGTTCTTCTAGAGCTTGTTTGCCTCTTATCAGTGTCATCTACCTGTGGCTTTTCACTCTTAGTTCACAGAAGAGAAGCTTGGCCAGGCTGAGAAGACTGAGTTGGATCCACACTTGGAGAACCTGATCACTCGTGCCGACTCCACCAAGAATTGGACTGAAAAGATCTTAAAACAAACAGAGGTGCTGCTGCAGCCCAATCCAAGTAAGTTCTATACATCGCGGAAGTTCCCCTACATATATAAAGTCGCATCTTCAACTCTGCGCACTGGGTTTAAAGAAGATGTAGTTCTTAAACTTGTTGACAAAAGATCTGTTCATACTTGTTTTGCTAATTGTTGCTCAGTAACATTAAGCTTTGAAACTAAAAGTTAAGGTTTCTACTAAAGAAATTTCCCTGGGAAGCAGAAACCCGTTGAGCTCTATCATTTCCACCAGAAGTTCCCGAATTCCAGCGATAGATTATTTCCCCCTTTCCCCTTTTGTTGAAATGTATATGTAATAAGTCTTTGCTCAGGAGCTAGTATTTTCCGAAGATTGACAACCTCCCCGTGTTAACAACTAATGCTAAGTGGTCATGTATAAAAGCTTTTTAATCTTGCAATTTTTTAATGCTCTACATTTCTGAGAAACCACTACTAAAAGCAGGATTTGTTTTTAGTGTCTGACAATAATTGAAAATAATTAGCCAGGGGGATTTTGTGTTTGGACTAACAAGAAAGTCGAAGCTTCTGAGGTTGTTAGGTCAGAATTTGACACAATTTCCCAAATTAATTTTAGTCTAATCAGTTTAACTTGCTGGAGGAACTTTTACCCTGGGGAAAGTCCCTGGACGTTAGTTCCTGGGTGTTTTGGGAACTTTCTCTGGAAATGTGCCTTTTAGAAGCTTTTATAGTTAAACGTGAACATGATTGGGTTTTTGGGAGTAATGCCTAACCTTTGACCTGTGTATTTTGTACCCTCCATGCTTCAGTTGACCACACTGGTAAGTCTTGGCCTTGTTTCCCAGAGTGCTTTGTGTAAAAAGCCTACTAAGCATTGTGATGTGACTACAGATTATACATACATAGCTGTGGTCAAAAGTTTCCATAAACTCATCATGGGCAGGAATGTCAAAGTAATCTTGGGCTTGAGAGGTGGTGTAGTGGCATAAGGTTGGAAAGCCTCACCTTTACTCCTCCAAACACACATATTGTCATTGTGGCCAAATAGCGGTGTTCATTTTAGAGCAGGGGCTTCGTTGTGGGTTGGTACCCTCTCAATCCAAGGTGGTGTAAAGCTCTAGATAGTTTATTAAAAGCCCAAAATTACTCTGGTTTTTCATGCACATAAACTTCTGAAGACATCTGTAGTCTAGCACATACCACAGACCTACAGTACGGCCCCACATTTTAAGCTTCAGGCACCGTCTGCTGTGCTGTTTAAGGTCTGAACTGGAGCGTGTAGATACAAACAGGTGTTGAATTACTAATGACCTTCTATTCAGGAAGACAGCTGCCAACTTTTGATGGGATACAGCCACTGATACCTTCATGGGGCCTGGTTGATTCAAATACCATACTCGGGTACAATTGTGTGTACTTGTATTTTTATTTCCCATCACACATTATACCAATCAGACCCATCAGATGGTTTGAAGTCATCCTGGAAACTATTTGGAGAAGGGCTGGTTCTTTGATATAATGATTAGCAGGCGATTGAACCATCTGTCTGTCACTGCTTTTCATGGGCCACTTCAACCAATCATGTCACGACACATATGATGCCACCCACAACATTTATCTGCAGTTATATGCCGTCGTTAAAAACAGGTTGAAGTCTAGATTATAGATCCGTTTGTGATCCAGCTGCCATGGAAAGCAAAGGCTATACTTCCATTAGGTGAACGGAACACTGGGCTGCAGCTTTGATCTTGCTGCCAATATTTAATGATCAAAGACGCCGATCCACTCCTACCCCTGGATAGCCCTGTTGGTGGGATTGGTCAATTGCAATTCTGGCCCCAGAGAAACATAAAATTGATACCATAGGAAGACCACTTATAGAAGATTATGACACTAGTGGGTTCCCACTAAAAAACGCTTCAAGAGCTGTACACGCCCACCACCGACCCCAACCACCTCCTGCCAGCTCTGATGCAGCTTGAATTATTAATAACACATCTGTGCATAAGTGAATGTTTTTCAGAACCGCCAACATGTTTGCACTTACTGAAGATTGACTGAAGATTAAGCATCTGCAGTGAACTGGTGTTTACACATAGCGTATCAGAGGAATTTGGAGGAATGTTTCCCCATTAAAAAAAAACTTATTTTAGAAGCAAAGATAACTGTAGTGGCGGCAATTACAATAACCTTTGGTATTAGGAGTAAACTATGGATAAATTCAAGACAAAAATGACAGCTAATTACCTTTTGTTTAACTTTCTTTGTTCAGAGAGATTAATAGCACCTTTCGTACAATTAGACTCTTAAATGTAGGATAATAAACAGTGTGCGATATTCCTTTTAATGTGTTGGTCACAGTTGTCTTTTTATCACCTTGTATCCAGGTGCTCGGATCGAGGAGTTCATCTATGACAAGCTGGACAAGAAGCTTCCCTCCAGGACAACCAACGCGGAGCTGCTGGGTCAGTACATGCTGGACGCCGCCATCGAATTCGGTTCAGACACGCCATACGGTGAGTGGACCTGCAGCTGAAACTGATACTGCTGCAGCTAATGACTCATGAAGCTCTAAATGCTCCTCTGAAGCAGCTCTCTTTCTGTTAGCAGTTAAAGAGCACACCATTTTACTACATTTTTGAGAAAAAGAAAAAAAAATGTGGATGCTGCTTAAACAGCTAAAACACACTTTAGTCCAAATTGTATTTAAAAACCGATTTGATTGTTTTGTCTCCATCAAACCTGTGGTTTGAACCTGAGTGTGCTGTTGTGCTGTTGTAACTGTAGGCAAGACCCTGATCACAGTAGCGGAATACCAGAAGAGGCTCGGAGGAGCCGAGCGCGAGTTCCTCCACACTTCGGCCGTCACTTTCCTCTCACCTCTGCGCAACTTCCTGGAGGGAGACTGGAGGACCATATCAGTGAGTGTGTCGTATGAAAATATGGTAGTAAATACAGACGTGCTGATACAAAATAGGAATGAAGTCTTTGCAGCTGTAAGCATCCTTATTACATCCTTTAGGAAAGCAAAAGAGAAAGTGCCGTCCCAGAATTCATAGCATCATTAAAAACAATAGTGATGTGTCGGTCGCGAACGAAACGGCTCTTAGAGCCGGCTCTTTGAAGTGAACGACGCGAGCCGTGGGTTGTTTTTTTTTTTTCTTTTTCTTTCTCTCAGCCTCTCGCACTTTTTTTCCGCTTCACTCCGCACGCGAGCCTTGTGCTTTGCGCTGGGCAGAGGGGGGAGGGGCGGTAGTTACACTCGCAAACAGAGCGGGAGGGAAAGAGAGAGAAAGAGAGTCAGGGACAACAACATTACATTAGAAAGGTATAGTAATCATCCACAAGTATTTTCAGTTGCAGATGATAAAGGATTCAGAAAGTTTATTCATGCAGGCCCATATGACAGAGAATATGCATGTTCTTTTTGTTTTCATATTTTAATTTATATTTAATTGTTTTGTGGTTTGCAGTGTTTTGTGTTGTTTCACTTTTTGAATATATATGAGTGCTTGTGTATAAATACACAAACAATACACATATGCTTTCAATTGTGTAATTTAAGTGATCTAGGTAGCTGTGTTTTGGAAGTTCAGTTAAAGCTAGAAATGTGTTTTGGAGTTTGTACGTGTTTTGTCTCTGGGGGCCACGCCACCGTATATATTTATATATAAACATATATAAATAAAACCACTTTTTTAAACATTAGTAATTCCTTTTGTGCATAATTTTATATTGTTGTTAATAATAAATTAATTAAAGCAACGGAACAACCTGAAGAGCCGGATGGGAGTCGAAAAGCCGGCTCTTTTTAGTGAGCCAAACCGAAAGAGCCGGTTCTCTAAAAAGAGCCGGAAATCCCATCACTAAAAAACAAACAGTCAGCATGGCTGTGTGGTGAATATCATGAAAATGTTCATTAATAGTGTGTTTTTCATTCAATGCCATAACCTGCTGATATGTTTGAACCTTTAAAACCACAGCTGAACTCTGACCTTTACACAGCTGCAATAACAGATGAGTAGGTTTCAGTGACAGCGTTGGCATGCATGATGATCTCAAGCATACCCGAAGTTAGCATTTGGACTTACAGATAGAGATACTGACAAAGTTTAAGTTGTAATTTGCACTTATTGGAAATCTCAGCAAGTCTCAAAATGTTAAAAATCACAGTAATATCATATTGTGATTTGTGATGATATCATATCTTTGGATGTCTATGAGAGCAGTCAGACTCTCTGAGCAGCAAACCTCTCCTTTCCTCTGTCCTGACCAGTTCTCCTTCACATTTTTCCCTAACCTCATGACTTTTTCCACAAAAAAACAGTGGCTGGGAAAGGGAAAGCGGGAAAGGAAAGCAATACATAGGAAAAAGTGCTTACCAAAATAAAGCGGGAAGCTGAAAGAAAGAAGAAAATGTACCTAACGCAAAGATAAAGAAGGGAAAGAATATCAGTAAAATTAAAATGGTGATCAAAACACAAATCCTGAACTCAGAGTCAGAGTGATGTACTCGCTGCTGGAGGTCTTCGGGGTGATGACGTGTTGCACAGGTTTGCTGCAGGTTTGTTCCTCGTGGTTGTTCCTGAATGAATCATTTTTCTTCCTCGTGCAGAAAGAGAGGCGGCTGCTGGAGAATCGCCGGCTGGATCTGGACATCTGTAAGGCACGCCTGAAAAAAGCCAAGCTGGCAGAAGCCAAAGCGGCGGTGAGATCAAATTTCAACAGTTCTTCTTCTACCCTAAGATCAGAAACCATCAGAGCACAGCCAGACTCAGACAGCTTTAAGTGAAGTCAGTCAGGTGCTCATTTTGTTCTTGTTTTGGTCACATGTTCAGAGTGCATGTGAGCAGATTCACCTCTGACATGTTGGAGAGCTTACTGGCTGGCTGCGCTGCTTGTCGCATGTTTGTCAGATTCATGAAGGAAAAGTTCCTAACGCTTCTTTATGCACCAACTCTGCATGTAAATATTACAAACAGTCTTTTGTTTTAGTCTTTAAAAACTCCAACAGATGCAGTGGACGCCTCGTTAGCAGACGGGTTGATGGCTGCTCTGTTAACACTCTCAGAGCAGCAGATGTCTCAGCCATGACCGGATTATCAGAACTAAAGTCCAGTTCAGTGATCACTGGGAGCCTTCAGAGTTCATCTGTTCACCATCGCATTGATTTTAAAATGATTTAATCTAACACAGCTACCTCAGATTATCCTATGCATGTAGAAATGTAAGAAAACAAACACGGTAAACCTGGTATTAGTTGATGCTGGTGAGCTATCTCAGACGCCTGTGGTACCAAAAACTCTGAATCAGGAACAGCAGGGGGCGCCCGTGTCACAAAACAAAACATCAGTACCAGTTTACTCCGATCAAATGAGCCCTTCAGTAGTAGATTTATGACAGGGATTAGTAATCTTTTACATCACAAGAGACATTTTATGAGGATTTTTGATCCTCAAAAATCTTAATGGGGCCACAAAACATATTTAAGCTTAAAAATGGAAGGTCCAATCAATCCAATCAATGTCATTGATAGGTGTTAGTAATTCAGATATTTTAACACAAGATACTTTAAGTTCAATTTTATTTCTACAGCATATTTAAAAGCAACAAAGTTGATGGAAGTTATTTACAAGTTAGTTTAAAACATACAAGAAAAGACCATAGACCAATAAATAAATATTACAAAGTAAGTCGTGAAAACAAACAATAAATTTAACTTACAACAAGCTAAAAAAAAAAGACACTACAAGATAAAAAAGCCCGATGGGACTCAACGTGAAACTTAATTTAAAGCAAAGGTAAACAAAGTGAGTTTGAAGACAGGATTTAAAAGAATCTCCAGCACAAATATGAAGTTTCAGGTTATTCCAGAGTCTCAGGGCTTCAACTCGAGGCCTCAGCAGTCAGAGGAACTTTAGCTGCTTTATATCTTAAAACCTGAACAGAGGTAGAGTCGGTGTAAACCTGCTAAAGCCGCGGTGATGTGATCATGTTTCTAACACCTGTTAAAAGATGAGCAGCAGTATTTTGGACAAACTACAGATGAGTTTTCAAGACACACCTGTAGAGAATTACAGGCATGAATGAGGTTTTTCAGGGAGGTCGATAGGATTTATAAAATTATAGAAGCTGAAAAACTTCTATTTCCAATAAAACACAAAATTTTTAAAGTGGAAGAAAAATCTACCAGTATGATCTGACCTTCCTCTGTTTGTGAAAACAAATCAAAAGTGTCCTTTTAGTAAACTTTAATAAATAAAACCACACAGCAGCTTTAAAAGCAGGCGATAAATTATTCACTGTGACGTCTCTTTGGGGTCAGCAGGGGTCACAGGTTAAATGCTGTGGATGCTTCCAGCTTCAGGCTCAATGATCCGCTCTCGTTGTGGTTGCTTTGTGCTTCCTGCTGACATGTTTTTATTTGTCTGCTCACGGTTTGTAACTGCATGACAACCTGTGTTTGTTTCCTCCTCCTTGCTCTCCTTTGCTGTAGGCTACACCTGATTTTCAGGAGACTCGGCCTCGAAATTATGTTCTTTCTGCCAGTGCATCAGCGGTAAGAGAAACGAGCAGCACCGCAGAGCTCATGGCTCACATGACAATCAAGAAACTGCATTTTTTTTAACATGTCATATGCAAAAAACTCCATAAGAAGCTAACAGCAGAATTTTTAAGTCTGACCGGCAGCTGAAGCTGTTAACACAGGCTTGTTTAACAATCGGGCCTCCATTTACCATCAACCTGTTTATGTATTTTCTTTGGTTTTACTTATTATCAAAAATTTAGTTTTTCTTTCTTTTTATATTTAAATATACTATTTTTCATGGCAATCACAAATGAACAAAGTGAGAAGTGAGGACAGTGGGGGAAAAAACAGCCGTATGATTTTTCTAAAAAAAATAAAAAAAAAAAAGCAACAATTTCTGCATATGTTGGAAATATATTAGAATTGGTTTTTAATTGTATTTTTATTTATTTATTTTCTTTTTGAGAAAGCAACCTCACTAGTCAAATAAACAAAAATAGCCTGAGGTGAGGAAAGTGAGCCATCATTAAAAAAAGAGCCAGGCTGTCACATTAAATATGAATTTATAATTAATGACTTATCAGGTTACACAAAGGTTACATTGACAAACAGAAAAAAGCCAAATGAAATCAATTGTGTCCATAATGTAGGTGCAGAAACGTAAAAGTCTGATTTGCTCTCTTAGTTTTAAATTATTATTATCATTATTGTTATTAATGATAATGATAATAACAACAATGAAACAAGCCTTGTTCTGATGGAGGTTTCTTCCTATTAAAAGGGAGTTTTTCCTTCCCACTCTCGCCAAAGTGTTGCTCATGGTGGGTGATCTGATCGTTGGGCTTTCTCCGTATTAATGTGTCTTTAATTTACAGTATAAAGAACGTCGAGGCTGCTGTTATTGTGGTGAAACGGAAATTAACTATCACTCCCCTGATACTAGTACTGCTACTGTTATTAGTGCTGCTACTGCTTCTGCTACCAGTCCTGCTATCAATATGATTTCAGCTACTGTAAAATAGAATTTCCCAATAATGGGCAGAAATACTATTTATTATTCTTTTTTTTATTATTATTATTTATGTATTCATTTTTTTTTAAAAGGAAACCCAATAAGCTAAAGGTTTTGTGTTTCACTGCTTCAGTTTTTTTAATGGTTCTCAGATGTATTAAAAAACTGTTCAAATCAAAATGTAGTTTTGCCACAGCTGTATTAGCGAACACTGCCAGGCTGCTGCTGTCACTAACAATTTGCTGCTTGAATGAAAGTTAAATAAACAGAAAAGGGGGGGGGGAAATCTTATTTCATTACCAGGATCTCAGATTTTTAATCTGAGCAGCATTTTTCTGCAAATCACACTCAAAAAGTTTTTTTTTTAGACTGAAACGCACACGTGACAGCTTTTTAACCCAGTGAGATCCTGACCTGTTGTTTTTAGAGGAAAACACGAGTTTATTTCTTTACTTCTGCTGGAACGTTTATAATTTCAAAGAAAGCTCAGGGATGAACAATAGGAAGGTATAAAAATGAAAACACAACACAGCATGTAATCTAAACCTGGTCGTGTCTTCTCAGAAGAAAAGCTGTTTACAGAAGTCTGTGAGCACAGATGAGGAACACAAAGATCTGAAAGTGAGATTTGTTTTATCTCAGCTGAACCTATCAGGGCTCTGGAGTTTACACTTCACTGGCTCCTTTATTTTGCGCTAACACCTAGAAAATAAAAAGTTGTCAGATTGCAGATTTCACAGCATGAGTGATCTTTCAGGGCTGTGTTTTGAATGTTTAGTCAAGCATGTCGTGTTAGCCATGAGATAACCGTGTTTGTGCATGACGTGTTACAGATGACACAAGCATGTTTGAGCATGGTTATTATTGTTTAGTTTTGGCGCTGATGCTTTTTAAATGAGGCCTTGTTGAAGTTTATTGTACGTCCATGTGAAATAAAACAAAAACGGCAGCTTCAGCTCAAACAGAAACACCGCTCAGCAGAACCTGAAAGAAGCATGGACTTTTATTTTGAAAAATCACTGTAATTCATTGGAGTCATAAGTTCTTAATTATTTTTATGATCAAATCACATTCCCTGATAAATACAGTCCCTGGGATCCTCGTCACTTTATATTCAACTATCTTGTATTTGTAACCTGCCGGATTTTTACGGCTTCATTTACGATCGTGGCTCAAGAGTTGGGAGTTTGCCTTGTAATCGGAAGGTTGCCGGTTCGAGCGCTGGCTTGGACAGTCTTGGTCGTTTTGTCCTTGGGCAAGACACTTCACCCGTTGCCTACTGGTGGTGGTCAGAGGGCCCGATGGCACCAGTGTCCGGCAGCCTCGCCTCTGTCAGTGCGCCCCAGGGTGGCTGTGGCTACAATGTAGCTTACCATCACCAGTGTGTGAATGCGTGTGTGAAGGGGTGGATGACTGGATGTGTAAAGCGCTTTGGGGTCCTTCGGGACTAGTAAAGCGCTATACAAATACAGGCCACTTACCATTTATTTTACCATAAAATAAAAATATCCTTAAAGAGCCTCGGTGCAAAGCCTCAGTTCATGCTCAGTCTGAAACAAGCCTTTTTAGCTCCTCCCCCTTTCAGAGGGCTTTCTTCTGATTTAAGCAGAAGTGGTTGGAGCTTCAAATACCTGGTTTAGAGTCGACTGAAACCTGAGGTTATACCTTCATGTTGTTATTTACTGGCCGTGTTTAATATTGGTGCTGGAAATGTATGTGACAGGAAATAATCTGTTATGTTATTTCAGACAGTTACAGTGTTTATGCAACGTATGATTTTTATTTATTTTTGATTTTTTTGACCCCCTCTATGGTTTCATTAAACCAGCTGCAGAGCGGCTGGGAGAGCTGGGACGTGGAGCCCGACCCGGTCGTGTCAGAGCAGAGGAAGGTTGGACACGTGGAGAGACTAGAAGTCCCGTGTTTGTTTAGTAGTTTGGGTAGAAAAGACATGTTTTTTTAGGGTGTTTCATGGTTATTTCCCCTCCTGTTTAGACTTCACGGTTGTTTTGTTCCCTCCCTTTGTTATTTTTAGAGCGCACAGAACACAGAGATAGGCATCGATTAGGACACTTTCAGAAGATTAGATTGTAGGAAATTCACTGATTACTTTTGCAGATTGAATCAGCAAACTAGACCAAAGAGATGTCACACAGTTTCCACTGGAGACTCTTCTGGTAAATTTGGGAAATAAATTACTTTATAAAAATCTGTGAAGCTGGAGAAATGTAATAAATTGTATTCTTTGTGTGACACAAGATAGGAAGGACTGTACCTTTTATTCACAAAAAGAGCCTCAAGGTTACTTCTACCGTTTCATTCATTATTCATTATTTTAATGTTAATAACATTATAACAGACATGCAGTGTTTTAAAAAAAAAAAAAATCATACCCTCTTTAAATTTTTCACATTCAGACCAACACGTTCAAAATGTTTTACAAATAAAAATCTGTGTGGCCTGCATATGTATTCAGCCCCCTTTACTCTAACAGCCCTAAATAAAAGAGGTCGTCTAATAAACAGAGTCCAGAGTATGTCCTTTAATCTCAGTCTAAATACAGAACACGGTTCTGTGACAGCCTCAGAGGAACATTAGAGAACAAACCGCATCGTGAAGACCAAAGAACTCACAATTTTTCGCATAAACTAGTATAAACCTGCACACAGGGATACACATCTACATTTAGGATGGTTAAACATGAAGTATCTGTCCATAAAGTCTTTTCAAAGCAAAAGATGCTCCCTCCCTGCTACAATACTGCATGTTTACCACTGGGGGGCGCAGCTCCACACCAGTTCCTCCAGTCTTCAGCATCTGCAGAATGCAGAGTAAAGGTCGTGTGAAGTTCAGCAGCTGCTGCAAGAGGCGCGTCATCGCTGTGTTTACAGTGCATTTGAGGTCATGCTTTCCCTTTACTCAGCATCTCCTGTAACTCAGGTTCACTCAGTGAAATGATGCGTTTAAGTCTTAACTATAAACATTAGCACAGTTTATATCGCATGCTGTCGTCATAGCCCGGGTAGAAGGGCATGAATTTGGGATCATTTCACAGGGAGACCAGATCCCAACTAACCAAAAAGTGTTTGTAAAGCAAAGTGTGTAAAGGTCGCTAATGCAGGGTTTGGCATTACTAACACAAACAAAAAACTGGTTTTATTTGATTTAAATGTTTCCTTTCTGTAGTGGAATTGTTTAGCAGCGGGGTTTCCCCTGTGATTTCTGCTTTCAATGCAAACAACAACAAAAAGCAATTTGTTGTTTCTCATTTGGAAGGGGACTCACACGATTTTATCCTTTCCCTTCGTAATCCATCTCACTTTTCCCACAGCACAGGATAACCCCACCTACCCAGTCTTATTTACAAACAGAGATTCCTGCCATGGCATCTTTTTATAGCTCTGTGTGGTGGAAGATGAAACTTGAGCATTATTTTCTAACATGGGAACATTTAAAACCTGCAAAAATCCTCAGAGTCCCACTGCGTCTCGCTAAGTAACTGAAATAAGATTTTGTTTTGGTCTTGTTCCGTTTTATATGTTGCAGTTAAAACTGCTGATGCCGGTTGTTCCAGCGGCTTTTCCTCTTGAGGTTATAGTAGAGATGTGTTCAAGGACTACAGCTGTTTTTGAGCCTCATGTTTTCTTATCATATTCACGATGAGTAAGACTGCATGACAGCAGACCACAGTGGCGGCTGCACTTTTAAAGGCATTTTCCAGTGTAAAAGGAGAATCCTTTAGTCGAGATTTTCGTTTTACCAGCATATTCCTGTGGAAAGATATTCTCCTTTATCAGGTGTCATTATCCGACGCGCACTGTCACAGCATGTGGAGTCATTTTCCAGGGACACCGCTTTAGTGCAGGGATTCCCCAGAAACACACATTTCAATGTGAGAAACAAGAAAAACAAAAGCTTTTTTTAATATAATATAATTAATATATATATTAATACAATATATAATAGTTTCACACTGTTTAGCATTATTAAGTGCTTGGTTCATCATTTTCATATCCTTACTGCCATTTATAAGCACAGACATGTTTATACAGCTATTGTTACACCATGTACAGCTGCCACTGCTATCAGTCACAGTAATATCTGTTTTTTATAAATAGCATGCTAAGGAAGAGTAAGCTATATAAATGATGAATGAAGCACTTGCTAATACCTCAGTACTCTGACGTCATTATAAAGTGCTGCCAAGTTGTTTATTCTGATGTGTGCATTAGTAGATTTGTTTAGGCACAGAGGGCCAAAGGGTTTGTGGGAATGTAATGCAGGCTTGACCCAAAGTAAAAATGGGATGTTCTGAGAAGATAGAAGTTAAAGTTAAGTGGGCTAAATAAACTTAATTAAAGTACACTTTTCTTCCATAGTTTGTGCCTAAAAATTGCCAATAAAAATTACTTTAAATCAACCTTAAATCTACCCTGATGGCTGCTTTCCCCCTCCCCTGTGTGAAACTAAAGCCCTAATGTAGATTTAGCTGTGTCTACCAAGATAATCTGCTCTTCCTGACTTTTTCTTTCTTTCTGTCCTCGCCACACTCGTCTCAGCTGCTCAGTGAGGAAGTGGACAAAGTGAGTACCGTCACCAGCAGGAAGCGCTCTCTAGATTTAAAGCATGACTCGTGTTGTCAGCTTCCTTCCTTCCTCTCGTCTTGTTTTCCAGGCAGAACACGAGCTTCGCGTGGCCCAGACGGAGTTCGATCGCCAGGCTGAGGTCACCAGGCTGCTGCTTGAAGGCATCAGCAGCACACACGTGAGTCACCGCAGGCCAGTCATCCCACTGGGCTCCTGTTAAAGGCCTGGCAGTGTAAATCACTTGAATGTTTTTGTCAAAATATTGCAGATGAACACATGGGAACCAAACCATGTTATTCTCACGCTGATTTTAAATTGGTTTTAAATAAGTTTTAAATGGATGAAGGCAGACAGCTTTTAGATGCCAGATAAAGCTTTGTTGATGTTTACACATGTTTACACATCAACGAAGCTGCCAGGCTTTAGAAAACTTGTGAACTGTCTGGATTTTTATCCAGTCGATGGTGCTGAGAAACTTTTACGTGAGCCCACCCTTCAGGCAGAGAGGTTTGTTTGGGAGTTTGGGAGCATTTCAGTGGCCTGACGTCATCTTTGTGTCTGTGTGTTTATATTGTAATACATGTGTTTATTTTTAATAAAAGTACTGGTGCAGATTTATTTTACACAGTGCTGTGCCAGAGTGTGCCTACACACACACACACACACACACACACACACACGTTTTCATATCTTGGTGCGGACAACTAATTGACATAATGCTTTCTCTAGCCACTTACCCTAACCCTTAGCATAAACCTAATCATAAACTAATTGTAACCCTGAAACTAAAACAACATTTTGAGCCTCAAAAATGCCTTCAAATTTGTGCGGACGGGCATTTTGTCCCCACAAGTATTGTGGCATGCCAATTTTCTGTCCTCACAAAGACTTCTAAACCAGTACACACACAAACACACATACACACCCTCTCACTAACACAAACACACTCACACCTCATTGTTTCCAGACGACCAGCTTGTAGATATGTCTCAGTATTACAGTATGAGTGGAAACATACGAAACACATCAGTGGTAACAATGTTTCAGTATCATCACAGCTTCATCTTTCAGGTGTGCGACACTCATTAAGCATCATTTAAAAGGCCGGCTGACTGCTCGATAAGACACTCACTGGAAAAAAACAAACAAACTGTTGCACAGTTAACGTCTACGGGTTCACCGCTGTTTTGCACAGACGACAGGGAAAGGCAAACGATATTTTTCCCAGCATGCCCTTCCAACGTAACCATTTTCCTTTTGAACCATTACCAGTTTATAAGGAAAATGTATACTGCATAATCAAAAGTTAAAAATAAAAGAGCCGTGACTAAAACACACAGGGGGACTCTTTTAATGTGTCCATCCTACTGTAATGCTGTGAATAGAAGCATCCTGTGGAATATTATCAGGCCGCCATGATTAAAGCATTTTTGTGCCTTTAATCATGGCACAAAGCTGGGCAGTAAATGGTGACTGTACAGCTTTGATTCTGCTGTTTGACTGTCAGTGGTCATTTCTAGAGCTAAATATTTCAGTCCCATCTTCATCCATGAGTGGGAAAACTGGCTGTAAAAGGTGCATGATGATTTATAAAGTCTTTGGTGTCCTTCACTCCTGTTGAGTAAATCCTCTCCTTTCTTTTCCCACCAGCTCAACCACCTGCGCTGTTTGCAGGACTTCGCTGAAGCTCAGGCCACGTACTACGCTCAGTGTCATCACTACATGCAGGACCTTCAGCGGGAGCTCAACAGGTCGGCATTTATTTGCAGAGACTGCCAGGACTCCCACTGACCGTAATATTTCTTGAATCAGAAACATTTTCACCTTTTCTTGAATTGTTTATGGGGAAAGATCAGAGTTAGTCACATCATAAAATACTGAAAATGACCACATAGTCTGGGTCTGGTTATGTGCAACTGGGAGTTGGTGCAGTCTCTCAAGGACCCATGATGGCTTTGTTTCCAATAATTAACTTGGATCCAATGTCTGACTTATCAGTAAGGCCTTCAACTAAGCAATCACAATGATCAATAGTTCATGACTATGATTTTCTCTGTGTTATTGGAGGGTTTTGACCTTACAATATAAATCACCTCTAAAGGGGAGAATATAGTCACAGAGGTTTTCACACCATCTACAAGCAGAAAACAGGTACACTGTTACTCTGCCTTAAACACTGAGATTTCTCCTGGGTACCTGAATAATGTTAGCAGTAAAAAAAAAAAAGTCCAGAGAAACATCCAGACTCAAAGTGATACCCAAAACTAGTCCAGTCCTTACTGAGCTCAGGGTCATCCAAAATGCTGCTACTTACAGGAACTAAAGATATTAGAGTAGAAAGGGATGGTCCCCAAACTCTTCCCACAAAGCTGGGAGCATGAACTTCTCTAAGATATCTTGGTATGCTGAAGCATCACAAATTCCTTTCACTGAAACTAGCCAACTCCTGAAAAACAACCCTCCACCATAATCCCCCCGTCCACCAAACTTTACACTTGGCACAGTAAAGTCAGACAAGTACTGTTCTCCTCTCAAACGTCAAACCCTGACTTGCCCATCGGATTGCCAGATGGAGACGTGTGATTCATCACTCCAGAGAACACATCTGCACACAGAACAATGAATGAACTTTGGTAATGGAAGGGTTGGATGTACAGTGGGGCAAAAAAGTATTTAGTCAGCCACCGATTGTGCAAGTTCCCCCACTTAAAATGATGACAGAGGTCAGTAATTTGCACCA